CGACCGGTAAGACAATCTGCAGGCAGCGCACGGTAGAGGTGTGGCCATGAAATATTTGAGTACACCGAGCCTTTTCGATGTCCCATACTCTTACCGACCTGTCGGTAGACCCAGAAACCAAAGTGTTGCCATAATACTCAAGTGCCCATACACCACCTTCATGGCCTTCAAGAGTGGCCTTGAGCTCACCAGTCCTAGTGTCATAGACGTTAATGTTCGTATCATCGCTGCCAGTAAGCACCTTCTCCGTATCGAACTGGAGACAAGTGACAACGTGGCGATCATGGGCGCGGAAGGCAATGTGTCTTGGCTTGACAACGGGTTTCATCCAAGCCTTGTGGATTGAATGGTGACGCTGATACAGCGATTTGTAGAGGTGAAGACCGCGAAGTGATGGCAAGCCGATGTCTGGATATGGGACGGCCGCCGCAGCCGCATTCGCAGCCGCATAAGGTCCCTCCGAAGCCGAAACCTCTTTCCTCCAATCCGAAGACTCGGAGTGATCAGTGCCACTGGAGGAGATCTTTCGCTTCGAAAGCTTACGGCTAGACACACGGGTGCACGCTTTCCTTTTAGGCCGGCGACTCACTGACAAAGTCCTATCACTAGACTCACCAAAGGCTTGCAAGGCAGGAACAGAAGATTCTGGATCTGGCTTGATGAAAGGAGACATACTCATGTCCTTCTCAAAATCCTCGCAGCCATTCGGAAATTGCCATCCCCAGCCCTCCCTGATCGCACGATCCAACTCGCCCTCGGGAAGAACATATCCGTCCCTATCGAAAAGCTCCTTCCAGGACTTTTCGTCGGAATTGATGATGTGCCTCCATTTCTTGGACACCTGAGCTGCGCGGCACATGGTCTGAACGTCGAAATATTTCACGATGTTAAGACTGAGCTCAAGCGGAAGCAGGGACAGAAAGTCACATTTCAAGGCAGGATTGACAACGTCCGCAACAAAGTGCAGCGTCTGTTTCGGACAGCGCCTCAGAAATTGGTACATCATATATGTTTTCATACTGTCAGGTACTGAGTCAAAGAAGTCCAGCACATTGGGTATATCCATCATGGAAGTGGGGCGCTGCATCATGGGTCCGGCAAGCTGTTCGGGCTTGGCAACATACGTCGCTTCGCCGTTGGAGTCCCCTACGGGCAATGGCCCAATAAAGCGAGAATCACTATTATCAAAGCTGGAGTCCGTGTCCTCTTGGTCTTCACCAGAATCGAAAGAGGAATCGATGTTCGCGGCATTTAGAGCCGCTACTGGAGACAAACTGGGACTGGGCAAGCACATATCTTGGGCAACGATATTGTCGATAAAAGGCTGTGAAGATGACTCCGTAGGCAGATGCTGAGAATTGTCGCCCGGTGCATCATAACCTGAGTCCTGACTTGCAGCAATCCCGGTCAAGTGTTGCCGAGGGCCCGATCCTGTCCTTTCCAATGCAGGTCTGGCAAAACCGGTCTCATTAGCGCAGCCAGATTGTTTGTCATGTTCCTGCATGATAGTATTTGTACGCAAGGTCTCCTTTCTGGCGTCCACTGTCTGCGAAGGTCCCTGAGACTCGACTTCCGAGGATAAAGGAGACCGTAGTAATGTCTCTCTACGAGCATTACTCGCACTGTGAACCCTCCTCCTCGACAATACTCCTTCCATGGTATTGTTGCTATTTGTTTCCGTCTCCGGGGTGGCTAAGCCAGCCACGGTAGGATGTACTGGCGTGGAGCCATGAGAACGGGCGGGACGGAACGAAGGCTCTGACGGCACTCGTGCGGAACGTGCCCGTAGTGATCCCTGTTGTGCTTCCGTAAGCCGACGCTTGGAGATCGACAGGTGGTTGGATGGATGGTTGGAGGTTCTATGTGCAAGACGTCGTGATAGCTGGCTATCGTCCGAAGTAAAGGAGGCCACAGATCGCACAAGACCGTTCGAACTTTTGAGCGCGTCATTCTTCTCGTGCAACTATAGAAATCAATATACAAGGTCCAAAAGTCAAGGCACGTAGCCGGAGAGTAGAAGGGCTCGCGAATTACAATGAAGACATACCTCGTTCAATGTGCCCGCAGTATCTTCTGGTTCATTAAACACAACCGATTTACCACCAAGTTCAAATCGTATATTTCGCAACGCCGATGGTGTAGGGGCAGATGCCAGTGGGTACACCTTGGGATCCAGATCCTGCGTCGCGCGTGGCGGCCTAATGAGCACGGGAGGAAACGTCGTAGTGGTTGTAGTTGTCGTCGTAACAACAGTAGTTCGGGTAGCAGGGGCGAAGGAAAATTGACCGACGGAGGTACTGGGAGACCCAGGACCGAGGCCCCGACCATTTCCATCTTCCTCCATGATAAGGTTGCCGAACGAATATGCGACCGACTCAGTGGTATGCCCGAAGTTGGGTTACTAGGAAGAGCGTGTTGTAGCGTGATGGCGTGGCAAGGATGAATCAGCTTCGACAGACTTGTTGGCTATGACGCATCAGATACGGCTGCTGGAGGGCTGTTTCGTGTCGAGGAGCTGGTGGTGAAAATGGGAAATTGTTGTTTATGTGATGGAGTTGATCGGCCGTACGTCCAGCAAGAAGTCGGTGTCAAATGAGGAACGCCAACAGATATACACGCTCGCAAAGAGCAACCGAATGCGCACAGCTGTGGAGGAGTGATCGTTAAAACATGACCGTGGATACCGAACGAATAAGGGCCTGGACGGAGTGTCGAAGATAGGCCGGTGTGTAGAGAAGGTGAAGGGAAGTGAACGAGGGCAGGCTGTGGCGTGCTCTGCTGACAAGGAGGTGTTGGGCGGCGGAGAATGATCGAGGGAGCTGAACCAGAAGGTGGTTGGTTGTGCCTCCTTCAGGTCAGGCTTAGGCTCTTCGCAGCAGCCGGCGGTTCTGTCCTCAGTGGCTCCCGGCTAGCCCAATCTGGCGGCTTCCCGAGGCTGGTGGCTCCGCAATGTGAAGACTAAATCCTATTTAAAATATTGACGGCCGAATGTTCCCCATATGTGAGACAGAGAGAGAGGAGAAGAAAGTGTGAGGATGAAAGATAGCAGGCGGTAGAAGAAGGATACTAGTAGTGATGGAGGAGGAAAAAGGAATGGAAAGAAAGAAAACAGGAGCAACGGAGACAAATGAAAAAGGGTCAAGGAAAAAACCTTAGAGGCAAGGCGGGTTCTGAATTTGCCGTCCTGCAGTCGGGGATCACCCAGCGCTCGGAGCAACTCTCCCTGGGGGTGAGAACCACTTTCCAGGATCGTTATAAGGATGTATCCAATGGTGGAGTTGACGGGTGTTGTGAGTATTAGACTTATGACTAGATTCCTTCTCGGGAGGGGACTGGATACAGCACTAAGTAACTTAAGTAACAAATTGCTTGCCCACTTTTAAAGTAATTTATTATTACCAGATAATTATCCTACTAGGCTACTACGTATGAGGGTACTTTGTATCAACATGACGGTGCCTGCTTTGTCCCCACTGATCTATTTCGCAAAGACACTCACCCCAAAACAAGGAAATTGGAAATCGTTTTGTCGAACCGCTGTTGGTGTTTTGTGGATGGGTGATAGCCGCCGCCAGATTCCATCATCCCAGATCTCTTCACACTTGACAGATATGGCTCCAGCACACCAACTGCATATGACATCTCACTTTTTACGTTTTTTTCTCGTGCCTTCGCAATTTCATTCGATATGTGACCTCAGACTTTCGCAGAATTTCCAGGTAGTCCTTGACCCAGTAACCGTTGGTTTTCTTGACTGCTTTGCCACTGGTCCAATACACGTGACTTGGTGGGGTCCATTGTATCGTCCAAAATTCTTTCGGCGTCTTTTTCGACTCGATGGTTCAACTGCTTGCGGTAGATAGATGGAATACACAGGTAAAGTTGCTGGCTGGAATCTTCGGTTACCGGTAACCGACCATGCAGTTATTTAGTGCACATAACAACCACCCCATATCAATTTCCCCAAAAAGGAGCTACTGATACACTCATGCTTTACACACATTGATGCTTATCAGTTACATATCAGACGTTGTTCAGATAACTACTTTAAATTAAAAACTAAAAAAAAAAAGTTTTCTCAAGATAGGATGGCAAACACCTGGGTGTGAAATGTGGACAGAGGACATTGCGGGGAAATGCCAGAGATAAGTGCGTATCACACAGGATGAGGGGTTGGGGGTTGTGGCTCGTAATCTCATCTACCGCGGGACTGCCCTATCGACTGTTTCAGACCAGCGTTATCAGCCAGGCATGTGTCTGGTTTCTAGCCAAAAAAGCCCCAACTACAGTACCCCAAATGTACTATCTCTTAGGTGCTAAGTAGTAGCGGTACAATTTGTCCTCTAGTCTACCAACCTGCAAATGAACACTGTTTCATGAAAGGGGAATACCATGAAAGGGGAATACCCTTTCGATTAAGGTCAAGCAGATCAAGTTGATGCATCATGTTTATCTTCCCTACACGATGTCTCGGACAATCTTCTGTCCGTTCGTTGTTCAGGAGAAACCGCTCAAGAATGCAAACCGATCATTTCATCGCCATAGCATTATTGGTTGTACCACTTTTGAAGTATGTGGTATCTGCAACATTGAAGTGACGGGTAATTTTCAGATACCAACCCGACTTCACCCCCTCTCTATATATAGTTTCAAACCAGCCGGGGACGACGTTACGTGAGACGTAAACTTCCCCCAAACATGACATAAGAAGACATACGATGTAATTGCACTATTGCCTCCATACATACAGAGCAACCCTTTATGGCCATTGCCCAATTCTGTTGTAAAGAAAATTCAGTATCAATGGAGGGACAAACGCACTGGCAACTCCCGTGACCATACCGTGGGTATTCGTTTGTCGTCAACCTGACTTTGGTTCTTCACACGGTGCCTCAATCCCCAGCCTCATTCTTCCTAGCATGATTTGCTGACCGCCATCTTTCATAGTTTTACTCCTGAATGCCTACATGTAGCGCAGTTGCACTATATAGCGACCCAGCATGGTTCGAATTAAGTTCACCGGGCCTCCGTCGACGGTCCAGGTACAGACTCCGCAGAATCTCCAGTCCCTTGCCGCTGACATCAGGCCTGTTGCTCGCATCAGGGCACAAGATGTGATTGAAGCTTCCGCCATTCTGAAGCTCCAAGAAAGCATGCATCTACAGCAACTGCAGAGCCTGGAGATGGTCCAGATCATGCTACATGTCTCGGTATGCGGCTTTTTTCCCTCATGATACGCTCGCATATCTCTGATACCAGTACATAGTTTGGAACACTCTTTTATCTTCGGTTCGTTGGGTGCCGGCCTTAAATCCCTAGATTTGAGCCAGTCTTATACGTGTTGCGCAGGGAGTTTCTACCGCTTCCATGTTTCGACGATCGGGACTTGAGAGAAGCTCAACGTGAGGGCGACCTTTCTTATCGACAGTTCATTGACAAGCACACGCACAGAGAAGACCTCGCTTCCAAGGAAAATGTACCATTTGGCAGAGGCAAGAAAGGTCAGCCGCTGAAGATCATACTCCGGGGATCAGATCCCAAAGCGGATATGATTCTTGATATTCTGGTCAGTTTCCATCATCGCTGGTAATGATCCCCTCTATTCACATATATAGGAAACCGGCATCTTCGATGCACTTAGCAAAAACGTGCTTGAAGCTGTTCAATTGACCATACTGGTCGACAAGGATGCGCCCGAGAATGTGCTAGAATCATACACATTCTCCTTTAGATACACAGGGGCGGAAGGTGATGTCAATACTCGCCTTGAAAGTTTATCTCTCGAACCAATGGGCTGTGTGACCGACATGAAAACTGCACAGACAGCCCGGATAGGCCTAGAGACGATCGTACGGCGCTTGATCACTCTTAGTGCCTTTCTTCCCACTCTACCGAGTATGTACCTTTATACACTCGCCTGATACTGCCGCTAATTATATTTCCAGACAAGAGAAGCTTAGGGGTTCATCTTTTCTATACGGAGGATTGCCCTCCTGACTATGAGCCCCCGGGGTTCAATGGGGCCGATGATGATACGATCAAATTCCCTCTCAGCGAAAACTGGAAAAGGGAATCGCAGTCTTGTGGACAAATGAACAGTGGACGGCATACGTAAGTGGCTACTAATGTTTGGTAACCTTGACTAATTGGAAGGCGTAGTGTTGGGCTTAAAGTCACCTCGCTCAAATGGACCGGATCCGAGCCCGAGGGAGCAGAACCGCTGCCTCAGATACCTCTTGATCTTGAGTTTAACGATTCCGTACGAAGAACGAAAGATATTGGATTTGATGACAAAGAGGATATCTTGCGTACACTGGGAGGCAGTGGCAGTCTATCTATGGAGAACGGCTTACGCCAGGACACTGATCTCTGCTCATCTCTGTGCCAGAAAGCCGAGAACGAAAAAGTGTCGACGCAGGATCTTGTGGATAAGCATCAATTACGAATGATGCTACCTGTAAGTTGAAAGCCCATGAGGATCGAGAATTGAGACGGTTGGCAAATTGACTAATTTGAGTAGTCGCAAGGGACTGAGGGTTCGGATGGTGAACTGGCACCTACACAGCCACTTAAACCTGGCACCGCATTTGAGAATGGCATTGCGACGAAGTATCAGAAGATTGTCCTTACGGAAGAAAGCAGGCACAAAATTAAGGAATATCTGCATTCACACGACTCTACTGCTACGAGAACGGCTGAGGATCACAATAGTGTCAGATGCCAATGCGGCTGGGATGGTGAAGAGGAGGCCATGGTAAGTTGACAGCCCATAGGTAGATCAAAACTAATCTTGATAGGCCCAATGTGCCTTTTGTCAAACGCGCCAACATTTGTTATGCTATGGATACGAAGGTGCCCATGACCCAAGAGTCCCCGACATTCATGCTTGCTATCAATGCTTGCTTATGCCAGACGAACCTCATATACTCCATCAAATGAGTAGTTTAGTACTCTTAAGGAGAGCCGTGAGGATCATACTAAACGAGGGTTACCCCAATAGAACGTCGTTATTCACAGAGAAGCTTCGTGAGTACCTCAGAGTTCATATTGCTATACCCTCTGACCCTTAACAGATTGCAACGGGCAGACCCTTGTCCAAATTATAGATCTGCTGAAAAAGCGTAGACTCCTCCAGCCGACCCCGGGAAGTAAAGCCAAAGGATTTCCACTGAAAGGTTTGCCCAGGTTCATGTTCCCTAGCTCGGGGGACATACAAGTCAGGCTACAAGCGGAGATACTTAGCCCCATGATCAAGATTCAGCATCATGTAAGTTGACCTGCAACGGAAGGCAGTTATAATGCTAACCTACTCCAGTATGTCCAAGACATCCCGCAGGACTCGCTTCAGCCATCACAAGTAGTGACAAATGATGAGCTACATAGCATCACAAGATCGTTTTCTCAGGAAGATAAATTGGAAGAATCGCTTTTTGATGCTCAAGAAAGCGGAAGGAAGACGCCGATACCAAAGGAAAAATCCACAAGCATGGTAGCAGAAACCCGAAGTCGGAAGAGACTGGCGTCACTGGCAAACGAACAAAGCCAACCCCATACCCCGAAACATACTGCTCATAAAGATGCGTCCCCACCAAGACGAGTCAGTGATCGAGTCTTGAGGAAAGACAGCAGGAACCAAGCCGAACAGCAAGTCAAGTCCGTCAAAAACGTAACTCCTCGCTCGAAGCAAACACCCAATCGTCGGACTCCCAGCGAAGGCAGTCTACGCCGCAGCAACCGCAAGAGGCGCAAGATCAGCAATTACTCCAAACTTGTCGATGTTGGCGCAGAGCAATCTGAGAACGACAGTTCCTAGTCGGATACTCACCCCGAGCACGAAAGTTGTCGCTGTCTCTTAACTGAAACAGCCAAAGAAAGCCTAAACCTCACCTACTGAACATTACAGGTCCACCATTCAAGCGTCATTGAGAAGAGAACGGGACAAGAATGGCATCATTGGCGGGATGTCCTCTTAAGATAGTGGTTCGAAAATCCGTGCACCCGACAATCGAGGTATCCGGTCAGTGCAGTGCACCCGCAACCCCGGTGTTTCAAACCAGCAACTATTGATTCAAAAATGAAGCTTAAGGGTCCGCTCGGGGAGGAAAGAGTGGAGGAAATTGAGCCATGGCACGAGCAGGACCCTGGAACGTATAGCTGAGTGATTGGCAGCTAGCTACTTTAGCTACTTACCTTTTTATGTATTCCGGGAGCATGATCACCCATCACCATACTCGGAGCTATTCGGGCCCTTGGAACTGACTGTATACTACATAGCTCAGTAACTCACCGAGAAAGCGAAAACAGAACATGCACCCTAAACTCACATATTATGGACAATGTTTCATAGTTAGACAACTGAATACCCAAGAAAGTAAATGGGAACAGCTATTGCCCCTCTGCTCAGATAGCTACAGACTGTGCCAAATATAGTCCTGCGCATCAGCTAGCCAGCATCATGCCTACACCAATAGTAGTAGTGGTAGTAGTACTAGTAGTACCTTACAAACCACTACTACACGTAGTCCTTTTCTATCAGAAATCAGAGCTACTACACACATATCATCCGAAACCTCATATATACCAAAATCACCAAACAAAAATTTCTGTCTTTCCCCCTCCTACCCAAAAAAGCGATGTCACTCTCTGACACAAAGCGTCCAAAAATTCTCCAATTGTTGTGTCTCGTGCCATGGGAACCCTGACCCTGAAAAGTCCCTGACAGGATTAAGCTCATGGCTAAGTAACATGGTGAAACAACTCCAGAGTCTGGCCCGGCAGTTCGGTGCTTGCCGGACTGCCGAACCCTGTTCCTTGCGACCGAATGACTCCGTTTACTGCTACTAATGGTGTCTTTGGGGGAGGGGAGGAAATTTAGGTGTAGTTTGGTTGCATGGTCGGTCTAGGAGGGTTGGTGAAACACGCGATGCGATGGGCTAGGTTCGCTTCGCAGTTCTTCTTCTCCTGATGGGTTGGCTATAATGGTGTACTGTAGTGTAGTGTAAAGGCGATTGGGGTTTATGATCGACGGACATATACCCACTTGCTCACTTACTCCTTATTCACATGCTAACAGGCAGCCCAGTAACTAGTTAGTAAGTACGCAGTTTGCGCGCTGCACGTAAGTAATTATCCGCTCGCGTATCGAGCTCGGCAAAAATGCATGTGCTTAGATAGAGTAGACTAGATAAGAATCAGTATCTGAATAGATCCGAATCAGATCATATCTGCTAGTAAAGTAAAGTGTTCTGCTCCGTGGTGCTGAGCCGTCATATTCGGAGCATTGTCGAAAGGGGGATTAGATCGATCGTGAGGGATGCGGGAGTGGCTACAGGCTAACAGGGGAAATCATCCAGAGTTCCAGACTAATTCAGGTCCCCGAGCACTTTGTAAGGATGGGGCTAACAATAGGTTGGTACCGATAGTTAAGAAATGTCAAGTCAGCAATGTCTATTTTCGGGTAGACGAGGATACAATAACTCAATGCGGGAATGATAGACGTGGGGATCCGAACTCGCTCAGGGCGGCAATCAGGTCAAAATCATGCTGAAATCCCTCAGGGCTGAACCAATTCTTAGTAAGGGCTAGTCTCTGTGGATTCAAACGTTTGAGACCAGGGCGAGGAAGGTTTTCTTTTCTCGGGCTTTGTTGTCTGCAGGTTGTACTATTGCAAAGAGCTTCTCTATTTTTGGTTTCTGAAGATTGGTTCAGATGTTTTCTTTTTCTTGTTCGGGGGAGAAAAAGCGAGTAAATATCAAGGTTTGGTTGATCGTCACGGACCCGATAAAAAGGGGCACTAAGATTCAAAACTTCCCAATTCCCCGCAATTGAAGCTCCTTAGCAAGTGGATGAGGAGAAAGTGGTGCTATTGTCGACTATTTGACCCCGATGAAGGTTAACCTGGGAAACTTTGGGGGTCTGTGTGGATGGTTGTAACTATTGGCTTGTTGGTAGATTGAATGCGTGGGCCGAAAACTGGGGATGCTCTACCTCATTCCGCCTTGGTAACTAGAGCATCTCCAGTGCTGAGATGGTCTCAGCCGGGAGCTTCGAATTGCGGATTATGCAGTAAAGATATGAATGCTTAGCACATATTTGGATTCACCGAGAAGTCCCCTAATAGTTGGGATTTTGTGTGACCCAGCTTACGAAGACGCTATTTTCCGTTCAGACGCGAGCTATGCAGAACATTGGCAGGTTAGAGGAGTTTGAGATAGACCCAATGGCTTGAATCACTGGACCCGCTGTAAGCAGTATAAATGTTCAACGACCAGTCTCGCATGCGTTTGGAGCAAAGAGCTGCTATTCGCCATTCAGGAGCACAGTGGCACCTTATGCAGTACCTGGTCGCTAAGGAACCTGCAATTGATCAGACGTTGTTTATGCAGGTTCAATAATCTGTTGTTCAAGCTTCTCAACAGTCCGATCTCCCCAGTAAGTTTCTGCCGAACGGCGTGGAGCTGGCTAGAGCTCTGGATACTAAAGTTTGAGAGTAGACAACTCACCGAGGATAGTCGAGAGGAGTCGGAAAAATCACCGCTGCAGCAAAGACGTTTAAACTGACGAAACAACTCTATTGACTCAAGAGCAGTAGGGACTCGCGGATCCTTTGTTGTACGTAGCAACTGCGTACTGGAACTGTGGATATAGCTATGAAGGCTGTTCGCAACAGGGGTCAGGGAGACTTCATGGGGGAACATAAGCTTTTCTTTTCCACAGGCACATCTTGCTAGCTGATATAGTGCTGTTAATCCTTTCAGATCTGTTTGCGTATGGTTTCGGGAGTACCTTCCATGTACTCCAATTTGTCTAGGGCGGAGGCTCCAAATTGAACCGACGCCTCAGTGACCAGAGGAGTAAAACATGCGGCCTTTCTTTAGAACCCATTCAGAAGGGCATATATGAGCTCCTCTTGCGATCAGTGCTGCTAGTGGGATTGAAATAAGAATACTGTTCCATAAGCAGAAGATAACAGCCAATTCACACAAGAGGAACAAGAAGAAATCGAGGATAGATATGCAAGTCGCACGAAGAACCACGATCTTGTAGGGCACTTATGATGGTAAGATCATCGGTTGAGCTTCATTGGTAGATGTCTCGCTCTGAGTACTTGAGGTCACGTCACCCGGTGCCCGTCCAAAACCTCAGCGTCCGGACACATCCGGTAAGTTGACGGTCGGGCGGATGGCGGCTTGGCCGATGATCTGCAAAAGAATTGACTTTGACGGACAAGGAGCACTGAAGAGCTCTGGACGCTGTTCAGTTTCGGTTTTCCCATACTGTAGTTACTTAATGATGGATGAGCTAATAGAGCGACACAAAATCAATTGCGTGAAAATGTGTTGTGGGTTTAGACTAGTTGTGTAGCTGATCCTAGTTCTGGCTACAGCCATGCCATGCTCCATAGGGGGTGACCTCCCAACAATGGCAGCCATTGCACATAACAGGAGCCAGTACAATTCCCCATGGTCTACTTACCCAACTATGCTGATGCCAAACAACTTTGTTCCGATGGACTGGTAGGTTTGAACATCAACCTTCGATAAGGTGTCTTAACGGGGCGCTATTCCAGCAACTTTCCATGGAAACCGTGCAATGGCTTTGTCGATTATTGACGACGATCGAGTAGCACATGCATCCAAGATTTGAGATTGTGCGTTGAGGGTTGCATTTCCATGGCGGAGACTGATGCCCTGTGCACGACTATTTGCCTCACAGCCATTAGCGGGATTGTCACGGGCGTCAACAGGGCCAAGGGATGGTACGTATGAATTAGAAATAAACAGACCCAATAACATACCTATTTCAGCCTGGAGTGTCAATTTCTTGAGAGATCACTCTGTTCCTGCTTGGATCGAGTCCACGAAGACTATTGAATCGGCACTTGGGGAACCCCACTACTATGGCGCTTGAGTATAACATTTGGTGAGCGGGATGACGATCAGCAGCAACTGCAACTCCTATTGGAAGAGACTTCAAGGGACGGCTGAGCGGGCGAAGCGGCGATGGGAAGTAGTAGTTCTTCACCAGTTCACTCTCCATCGATCGCGAGTGGCAGAACCCGTGGAGAAGCCCGAGCGGCAGCAGCCCCTTAATTTGAAACCATGACTGGTTCCTGACGGAGTTGCACGCGTCGGTCCAATCTCCGGTGCGGACGTCAGTGGCATACGACGTGTAGTAAAAGTAAATTCAATTCATGACGGGGAAAATATGGTGGCAATGTTCCTTAATTGCTTTTTACTTGGATGTACTCCGTAGGCAGAAGAAAGAATAGCTTGGTAACCAGAATAGTAAGTAATGAAGTGTGGCTGCCCTGGTTTCTTGCCGCATTGCCCGAATAGTTCAAATCGAACCTGGGCGCACGTGTCCAGCCGCGTCTAAACCTGAAAGAGACGAAGGACTGCAGCGACTATTGACCTTTAGAATATCCCCTGGAATCCAAAGAAGCCGGAAAGGAAAGACGGTCGAAGTTTACTGTACGAACGAAAGACGGCGCAAGGGGAGACCGAACTAGGATTAGATCCATGATGGTGGGCTATCGGGGTTGTTCATCCCTGTTAGCCAACTCATACATACTCATTATCTTCAAGTAAGAGGATGCGTTTCTCTGCTGGACGAAGCATTTTGCGAGGCACTGACATTTCTCATGCGTATAACTATAGAGCACCCACATATTGGACCACCACCAGAAAAATGGTCTGATTCCGGAACAACTAATTTAGAAAAGCAAAAACAAATCCACAAAAAATAAACAACTGCAAGACACGGACATCCCACCCATCCTCCTCGAAATCTTGCCCTGACTTGAATGGGAATCGCTCGCCTCGGGCCACCAGCAGCCATTGAATCCACCTTCGAACCTCCTCCACTGGATGGGCCACTCAGAAACTCTCAGGAGCCGCTTTGCGATCTATGGACCCATGGTTGTGTGCCTGTCGATTCTTACTGCTATTGTAGGGTGCTAAGGTGCCACTACCGGCTTGCAATTGTCTGCTGACACGAATCTTAATTCTCTGGGCTAACGTAGGCAGCCTGTCGCCCGTCTCTTGCCCTCTCTCCTGATGATGGACCACCCTGCCGGTTCTTGCCCGACTGGAAGTATGACAACCGGGTCTCTTTTGGGCCCACGAGAATGGCTTTGTTCCCCATCGATTTTCTGGTTCCAAGCAATTGGCGAATGAGCCTTCCATGCTCCTCGCGGATCTCTTCAACTCTGAGCTGGCCCATGCTGAGTTTAGACTGTTTTCTGGCGCCTTTGACTTTGCCCCTTAAGCCGCGACCCTCCACGCTTTTTGAAATTCTTTCCCCCCCCCATCATCAGTCCGCTCACATGTAATGAAATCGCGGCCACTTATATATAGTACCTAATAGGTCTCTCGGCTCGCACGGCCGGTTCTTCTTTGATTCTGGTCAATTTCCCTGCAAAATCTGTTACATCATTCACAAGCTCCTCGGGGACCCTCTTTTGTATTCCTGCGAGCTGCTACTACTATTAAGCCAGGTCATATTTCACTCGTTCCGCCGGACCTGCATACTAGTCCCTCTTTTCCCAATTTCCCTTTCACTCTTGCTTCTAGTTCCCTTTTTATTTCTCCGTGACTCGCCTGATCCGTCTCTTCAGTTCCTGTTTGGTACATTGACACGCTCCTCAAGAGAACGCCAATTCCCTTAATATTTTATTCTTTTGACCGCTTCTTCAATTTCGAATTTGGTGTGTCTTGTGGCGCCCCGAAACGAGGATCTTCAGTGACCGAAACGGTAAACATACGGGCTTGGGGGTACTCACCGACTTGGGGTGGGGAACATTGAAAGACACCTCCGGCTTCCTACCAAACCTCCTGAATCCTCCGACCTAAAGACGTCGGGATCAATTGTTTACTTCGAATCCGAAAACTCCTGCTCTCCTTTGACATTCTGCACTTCTTGCTATCTGGTCATAGCTCGATTTTTGGAGAAGAGACATCGGGATTGTAGCCCGCAGTGTCGACGTGGGTCACGCCCATACTAAATTGATTAATGCCCCAGCAGTCCATACCTATCCCACCAAGGACTTCAAGCATGCATGCCTCTAAGAGTGGAGTGCTTTCACCCGCAGCCAGCCCGGGAGATTCGAGGAATGAGAACACATCAAAGGCCTACAAAATCCTCGGCACAACAGATGCCTCCGTCCACGAAACTCATACTAAGCGTGACGACAAACGACGCTCGAGACGACCAAGCTTCATGAGAGCTCCGGAGATCAAATCGCAGAAGAGCGGTGGTTTTGTTCCCTTCCCGACTGCTGCTCCAGAGACCACTATTCCCCCACAACACCTTCGTGTTCGGGCATCATCACCCCTGCTGGGCCATGAGTTCCGCCCAGATGATGCTCCTGGACAGGCTATGCCAGCATCGACAAAGAAAATCCACCAGTCAGGTTCAGCCTCCGCCCTATTCTCCTACTTCAGCTCTCGGGATTCGTCAGCCAACACAATTCCTGGCATTGGAGTTGCGACATCCGACTTTGGGCCTACGGCTGAGGGTAAACCAGAGTCACGACAAAGCGCCGAGTCTGGTTCCAGCCTCAGGCAACCGAAAGGCCCGATGAAAGACTCAAAGCGTAAAATGCGCCCACCCCGGATCGACCTCTCCCTATTGTTTCCCAAGCCTAAGGCAACCGCTGAGCCACTCCTGTCGCCGCAACGCTTGGTGGCCTCTCCCTCTGCTATCTCCATAGTTTCTGAGCACCCGGTCACCAAGGCAAAGAACATTGAGGACCATGCAGCCGGCACTAAGCTCGCAAAGGCGCCACCTCACCTGGTAAAGACGACCGACCAAACCTACAGTGGTCGGGCTCCTGAGGCATCATCCTACGAGACTAAGACGTCAAATTGGCTTGATCCGTCCTTGGAGAGGACCGTACGGGCCAGTGAGATGGACTTAGCCTTGCAGAAACTGCAGCAAGATTCTCGGCGCAATACCAAGAGTCGCTCTAACCGCTCACAGTCGCGATCCCAAGGCCAAGATAAACGGCGAACCGTTGATTCTCGCGCCCCGGATGATAACTTGTGGAAGGTTACCTCAAACAGTTCTGGCAGTGAGTGGAGCAAGGAGACCTACTTATCTCCTAAAGCTCGTTCTCGCCAAAGCTCACATCGTGTTTCAAATCACTCTGAACCCAGGAGACCAAATTTGCATGCGTCTGCTGCATTGGAGAAGTGCTCGGTGCCAAAGAAGAGTAGTCGAACTACACTGAAGACTGCGGACTTGAATAGCTCCAGCGTGCTTTGCCTCTCCTCTTCAGAGGATGAAGATGATGACGAGGACCACAACAGCGATCGACTAAACAGAGATCGAAATGCTAGAGACAGCGTTGCAACCTACGGCGAATTCGAAGCCGAGATATGTACAGCATCGGCCGCACAAGCGACAAAGGGCACATTACGGAGCATTGATCAGCCGATGTCCGTCACTAGCCGTGGATCGCGCCCATCACAGAGGCTTCAATCCGCTCGGCGGGACGTGTCTCAGTCATCAGCCGAGAGGTCATCATATATGGCCAGCTGTCAGTCTCGTCGATCCAGCGATATACCCACAATTTCTGAGCCGGAATTCTTCCACGGGGATCCGATATTCAACCATCAGAGACAGAGCCAGCTCAGAAAGCCCCCCTCTGCCTCCCAGATGGAGACCAACAGAAGAAGCCGAGTCATCGCGGTGACGAGACAGGAGGAGCATCTCCTCGAGGCAATGCGACAGAGGAAGGGGAAGATTACGCCCAGTATCTTCCAGGAGAGCCGATTCAACAGTAACTTGGAGCCCGACCAAGGTTCCATGCTGTCTGTTCCTTCGCGAGATTCGTTTTATGGATCAGACATGTCCTTTTTACGCCTAAGCCCTGCTTTCCCTCCTAAATCGGTCCAAGCCAATGCGAACCGCAATGAAAGGGAAGGCTCCGTTTGTCAGAGCACTTTTTCCGACGAGGAGCAGAGAACCATCAACTCATTCCCTTCTCCCCGTGCTAGCTTGGCTTTCTCCGAGGGTCTTTCGTCTCCATCGACCAGCGCAGCCTCGCCGTTGACACCGACGCTCCCTATCCACCGCTTCTCTCCTATACCGTCTCAGCCACCACCCCGTCGCCCTATCCCCGCTGTGCCGCAAGACAAGAGGCGGCACTCACGGCGGCGTACAGATAGCAGCGAGGCAATTGTCCTGGAAGAGCCCGAGGAGCCGAAGCAAAGGGATGAGCTTCCCATGTGGACATTGCGGTGGAATAACGACAATGGAACTATGACGGCTGTACATTGAACATGATGTTGCTTGTTGCAAGATGCTCGCAGTCATGATACCCACTCATTTTAATTTTGTTTTGAACTTTGATGACATGTTTTACTCAACCTTTACAATACCTACCTGCGCCTGCACACTCACTCACCCATTTCTATACCTGTGACTCAACATACACTCTTTGATTTTCCTTATTTACGTTCTTCTTTCTCAAATCGATCAAGCGAAATACGGCCAGATGGCATTTATTTTGGAATTCTTATTACTCATGTTTGGTTGGTTATGGCTACTTATGCTATACGGCAAAAGACATTTTGTAGATAGACGACCTAGACTTGAGGGGGCTACTATCGGACACTGTCCACATAATTGAACCATCTATGCTGATAATTCTACTGTCGAGCTTACTTGCCCGTAATCAATGACCTGCTGCATTATACGTGATCATAAGACTTGGGACCTTCAGTGTATTGCCCATACTCATCCAGACGTTGTTCGCGCAAGGTGTATGTCGAGTAGAGTTCCAGAAGGCCTAATATAGTAAGGATAATGGTTGGGGAATGGTCCAAACCACTGACATGCAGGAAGAAGCAAAACAGTTACCCAACGGAAGGTGTCAGTCAGATGACATAGCAAGCTATCGCAAGGAGTGTTGCAGTTGCGACGATCTCCTTTCTATTAAGTATCATGGCGGTGAAAATGACCACCCTGTATAGTCTCACTATCTTCCTTTCCTCTCTAGACAGTTAAGAGCGTTCAACACGGGAACTAATGTCGACTAATTTGTGTGGTGTCAATCTTTCGTCTCTACGATGGCCAAGGCCCACCCTGCGGGCTTCGAGAATCGGCTTCTGTAAGTTTATCCCACCTTGCCTACTTCGCAGCGTTAGTGAAGGATTGCTGTTAGGCCCCCAAATTCCTCCGGTCCGAGCCGCATGGATTGGGCTGTAATGATTCCGGTGAGAGGAATGCTGATGATGATCCCAACCGACGACATAATCTCACGTCGAGGCCTCACCGGCCGTGCGTTGCGAGTATAGAGGGGGACTGGAACTTTGGTACACAAACCAAGGTTCTGAGTTCTGCCAAGAAACATCCGTTCGACTGGGTCTGGCCCTCGCTTTGTGAGTATTGTGTGAGTAGCTAGGCCGTCGGCTTTGATTCCCGTCAAAAGACCAAGCCTTGTAACGTGATAAGATTTACTGCAGATCATGCATGTTTACTATTATTGATATCACCGTGATATTAGCTGACTGCAATACTGTGTGTTGCCGATCGGACCTCACCAAATAGTATCATGGCACGTTGATGATGAGCGGAACGTAGCGTAATCTGCAGCTTGCGCGCTTTGTTGTGGGTACAAGAGCAGATATTCCGTCAGCTGGATCTGCGCAGTGCAGTGACGAGGTCGATCGAGGCATGTATGTCTTAACCTGACGTCAGATGCGATCCTCAGGGGGGCAGTTCTGGGCGAAAGTCGAAGCACTTGTTCTGGGACCGAATTTAATGTATGGCTGGGAGGAACCAAAAGTGCCCATCCGAACAAGCAAAGGGACTAGACCGCCACCTGCCCCGTGATCCACACCGCCCAAACAAGCGTCTCAAGAATACCCCGGATCCCTCATATTTTAGTCCATTCGCTCCCTCATTCTTCTGGTTCTCCCCCCGTTTGCGCTCAGTCTTTCGACCTCCATTGAGGCCTTTTATCCTCGAGAGCTCTGTTCTCGAGCTCTCCGATCCTTGGTATACTCCGCGACCGTGTCGGTATCCTCTGTGTCGGTCTAGTTCGCTAGCAAATTCCTCGTCAAGCGTGAAGACACCCCTCTCCCACCACGACCACGCGCCCAATTTGTATGCGACATCCTCGGTAATCGAGTGCGGAGTCCCTGTCTGTTCGCCGCCCGACAATTTTGACTGCTTCTTATAATTCAACCTGCTCGTTACCTTCAAAAGAATCCCCAGTTTAGTTCAGGGGAAGACAAATATCGTCAGTATGGGGGAGTCCGCCCAGCGCCAGTCCTCGGGACTGGGATCGGTTTGGAAACATCTGTCTTGGGCACTGGTAAGTCACTGGTCATATTGCACACACTACCACTATGACGATTCTGCCGCTTGTCTGCTTGACATATTTGGAGTATTTACTCATTGACATTGTTTTTGTTGGAAACAGTTGACCGTACAGTGCACCTCCTTTGTCTTGGTGAGTCGCTCCTGTCGACTCTGATCATAGCGTCCATGGTTGCTTATATGTCGTCCTCCCATAGCTGTTGCATTATTCCAGAGTCATGTCGCCGGCTGGCGGCAAGCGTTACCTAACGTCCACTACCGTTTTCTTCAATGAGGTCGTAAAGCTCGCCATCTCCCTGACCATGGCGCTGTACGAGGTTTCGAAGACAGCCCCTCCTTCGGTTCCCGCGACGTCGCTTTTCTTTTCCCTCACAACTGCCATATTCTCCGGTGATAGCTGGAAGCTTGCTATTCCTGCCTGTCTCTATACGCTTGCAAATTCGCTGCAGTACATCGCCCTGTCGAACCTGCCGCCAGCCACCTTTCAGGCATCGTACCAATTGAAACTCATCGTCGTGGCCATAGCCAGCTTGGTACTGCTTAAGAGACCTGTCTCACTCCGGAAATTGGGGCTCATGGTCCTTCTCTTGGCGGGCGTTGCTTTGGTGCAGATGCCCATTGGCAACCCCGACGACATGACTCTCCAAGATGAGACTGCGCGTCTTGCATTCCCGCGGTCTCTGGAAGAGTGGAAAGCTTCCAAACTAGGACGCGAGAGCCTACATAAGCGTTCTGCAACCTATGAGGGGATCGAGGAGGATATGATGACCGCCAACCCTAGACTTAATGCTACCGTCGGCCTCTTGGCCACAGTTGGCGCCTGCCTCGCCTCTGGCGTTGCGAGCGTTTACTTCGAGAAAGTACTGAAGGATAGTGCCAAGTCGACATCGCTCTGGATCCGTAACGTGCAGTTGTCCGTCTATTCGATATTCCCGGCACTTTTCATCGGTGTAATTTTCCTGGATGGCGAGAAGGTTGCTGCCAATGGCTTCTTCGAGGGCTACAACTGGATTGTCTGGTCCACTGTTGTCGTTCAGGCTATTGGTGGCATTGCCACGTCCTTTTACATTGGTTACGCATTTAGGGATGGCAAGAACATGGCCATGGCTGCGAGTATTGTACTCACCACACTGGCTAGCGTTTGGCTATTTGAGTTTGAACTCACTGCCAATGTATGTGACCGTATTCCTTCATTTATGAGTAGGTGCTAATCCTCACAGTATCTCCTGGGATCGTTCGCAGTGTTGGTGGTTACCTGCCTTTGCGAGGATGCAAGTTCTGCATCTGCCCAGGCTAAGCGCCAAACCTTCCGTCCGCCTCCGATCCGCGTGGATCGCTACGAGAAGGAAAGCAAGAGTGGGGATGCTTCACCAGCTTCCCCATCGCCTAATGAGATCTCCATAAAGCTTCCTGGAACCCCCTTCCTCTCTACTGATGGGCTTTCGACGTCCAGGCCTACATCTCCGGGCCACGTACGCGCTGGCCGCACCCCAAGCGGTGGATATTTCGAAAAGCACTCACGAGACCACTGAACTCCAATTTGCAGACATTATCTTCGCATTCTCCGCGTAGGATGACCTTCGCGTTGCTGTATCATGTTTTTCTGGGAAGTAAATAAGGATGGATAGAAGCGATGATGCCCCTTTTGCTTTCGTCATATAAGTTCCACTTTCTTGTACTTTATTCACATCATTCCTTTCGTTGTTGATTCTTTCGACTCGCAATCCTACAACCCACGGATCATTATCACATTGAGCAATTTACTTTCCTAGGAAATGGAGACTGGTAAATTAAAAGGCTTTAGGTCGATTGCTACATGTATCATCTATCAAGACTTCTGTCCGCTTGCTGTATGCTGGCCGTAGAAGATCCCACGTGCTACATAGCGGGTGACTTTTCCCCTTCCCATCTACCCAGTTCTGTTTCAACCTCCTCTCACCTATCCGTGATAAACGTGGATGTGGCAGCGTCTTGCCCATCGTATCATTCCATCATCTCACTATCTAACATGCGGCACAATACTTATCATTCAATCCCTCAAACCCGTCGGAATGCTCCCTATAAGCGTAGAGCCGTTCCTCAACTCCCTACTCCCAGCCGATCAAACCCAAGTGCCATCATTGATCAAAGATTAGTCGAAGGTGCACAGGAACCTTTGTTCAATCGACTACCCAGAGAGGACTCTAGGAGCTATCGACCTGAGCTGCAGTTGTTTTCTCGGGATGATGATCTAGAGCTGGATGCCTTTGGTATGCCAATCAACTACCCCACAATGCCATCTCAGAGTATTTAGATCAGGCTGATCATCCAAACCTTAGACCTTGAACTCCTGGCCCAATCAGATGAGCAAGGACAGAGTCCTCAGACAGCCGGTTCATTCGCAGACCGTGGCTCGTTGTCCAGGCCTCCCCAAAGAACAGACTATAACCGGGTTTCTCGTTTCTTTCAAGGTCAGAGGACATACTTGATATAAGGTTCATGGATCTCAGCCCTGAAGGATCAAGCTAACATGGCTTGAAACAACAGCGGGTCCTCATGCCACTCCACGTCAAAGTTTCGGCTCTAGTTCTTCGGATACGGGTGTGAGATCGCCATCTAGTCCATTGATAAGGATGCAAGCTGGTAGGGTGAATAAACATGCTCCTGAATATGACTTCGAGAACAATGTTGGATGTCATACTTCCTCCAACCGTGAAATACTGGCTTCTCACTCTGCTGAGATATCGTCAGTTACCCGCCAAGACCGGCAAAGAGGCCCCTTCCAACAACATCTTCCAATTTCAATTCGAGGGATCGTCCTCGTATCTGTGCATGAACTCCCAGATAAATACCGGTCGATCTTTCCATTTCCTGTATTCAATGCCGTACAGTCAAAATGTTTCCAATCGGTCTACAAGACCGATAGCAACATTATCCTTGCCGCACCCACGGGCAGTGGGAAAACAGCTATAATGGAACTGGCAATATGTCGATTACTCAATCGTCTCAAAGATGAACAGTTCAAAGTGATATATCAGGCACCTACCAAGTCTCTTTGTTCCGAGAAGTTCAGAGACTGGAGTAGAAAGTTCAATACATTAGGGCTGCAATGTGCAGAGTTGACCGGGGATACAGACCACACTCAACTGAGGAGTGTTCAGAACAGCCAAGTGATCATCGCGACACCCGAGAAGTGGGACAGCATGACGCGGAAGTGGAAGGACCATGCACGCTTAATGCAGCTCGTCAAGCTATTCCTCATTGATGAGGTCCATATCCTCAAGGAAGCGCGTGGTGCAACCCTAGAAGCTGTCGTATCCCGCATGAAAGCAAACGGGTCGAACGTTCGCTTTATCGCTCTGAGTGCTACGGTTCCAAATTCAGAGGATATTGCAACTTGGCTAGGTAGGGATCCAGTAAATCAGCATGTGCCTGCCCACAGAGAGCACTTCGGTGAGGACTTTCGTCCTGTGAAGTTGCAGAAGTTCGTGTACGGCTACCAGTCTCACGCCAACGATTTCGCATTCGACAAGATGTGTACCTCTAAGTAGGTTGTCCCCATAAGAAACAGAGTTTGCTATTGATGTTCTTCCGGTAGACTTGCAGATATTATATCATCTCATTCCCGAAAGAAGCCAATAATGATATTTTGCTGCACGAGGAATTCCGCTGTTGCTACCGCGAAGGAGCTTACACGCTTGTGGACCATGTCCAACTCTCCTGCTAGGTTATGGAAGGGACCAGGAAGGTCTATGGAAGTGCAGAACGTTGACTTAAGAGGTACCACCTTTTCCGCTTAAGATATGGTGATACAGATTAACTTGTGTAGCCACGATTGCTGCTGGAGTAGCTTTCCATCACGCTGGCCTTGATCCAAATGATCGCCGCTCGGTCGAGACAGGGTTCCTAAATGGACAGGTTAGCATAATTTGTTGCACATCAACTCTTGCAGTTGGTGTTAATCTGCCCTGCCATCTTGTCATCATAAAAGGAACAGTCGGGTGGCAAGAGGGAGGCTGCAAAGAATATTCCGACCTAGAAATCATGCAAATGCTAGGGCGCGCCGGTCGACCACAGTTCGATGACAGTGCTACAGCTGTAATAATGACAAGACAAGCACGCGAAGCACACTATGAGAGGCTCGTGTCTGGCTCTGAGAGCCTTGAAAGCTGCCTACATTTAAATCTTACTGACCATCTAAATGCAGAGATCGGACTTGGCAACATCACAGACATCGAATCTGCTATCAGATGGCTCTCTGGCACTTTCTTTTTCGTGAGGATGAGAAGGAACCCGACATATTATCGACTGAAGGAAGACGCTGATAAAGAAGACGAAGAGGACATGCTCCGACAGATATGTCAGAGAGATATAAAGCTTCTTCAGGATTGTGGGCTAGTCTCCGCTGACAGTCTCAAATCCACCAAGTTTGGTGATGCCATGGCGCGATACTATGTGCGCTTCGAGACGATGAAAACCTTGCTTACTTTGAAGCCTCATTCAACCGTATCCCAGATTGTAAGAAATAGTATTCTTCGCCGCGGGGCATACTTACGACTAACAATCTATACAGCTGTCGGTGATTTCGAGAGCAGACGAGTTCCGTGAGATACGATTCAAGGCGGGCGAGAAGTCCCTATATAAAGAGATCAATCGCTCCAATGCAATTCGGTTCCCAGTGAACGTGGATATAGCACTTTCCGCACACAAGATCTCACTGTTGATCCAGTCCGAGTTAGGCGCTGTTGATTTGCCAGATGGCGAGCCATTCCAGAAGCACAGGTTCACTTTTCAACAGGACAAGACATTCGTCTTTTCTCACATCAACAGGCTCATTCGCTGTATAGTTGACTGTCAAGTAGGCCTCGAAGACTCCATCGCTCTACGAAACGCACTAGAGCTTGCAAGAAGCTTCGGAGCCAGAGTTTGGGATGACTCTCCACTTCAGATGAAGCAGATTGAACAAATTGGTGTGGTTGCCGTTCGGAAACTAGCGTCATCAGGAATTACTAGCCTTGAAGCACTGGAGCTTTGTGAGCCCCATCAGATTGATATGATCTTGAGCAGAAATCCTCCGTTCGGGAGGAAGTTGCTGGAGCGGCTTGTTGATTTTCCCAAGCTTCGAGTGTCCGTCAAGATGATTGGCAAGGTATTATACCAGAAGCCATTAAGATCTCTTGCTGATACAGTAGCAGGAAACTAAGACTGGTACAGGTGTACAGGTCAATATAAGAAGCGAGGTCGCCTTCATGAACGAGAAATGTCCGACATACTTCCAACGTCGTCCCGTGTACGTCTGCTTCATGGCAGGTACTTCAGATGGTCGTTTGCTCGACTTCCGACGCATAAGGCAAGAATTATACATGGCATAATCACCAAACAGGCTTCATAGAGGCTAATTCGAGACAGTGCCGGTAAGATGCCCAATGGTCAGGAAATACTCTTCAGTGCGGAGCTGAAAAGCGCCGGCCAATCTGTGACGTGCCATGCAATGTGTGACGATATAGGTACCCATGAATGCCCCTGACCGTCATGTAATATGACTGCTGACGATCTTAGCTGGGACTATGCGATCCGCACAGTTGAAACCTGATCTCCCTGGAAGCTTGTTTCCGTCTCAGCTAGATCCCCTTTCCGATGTAGTGTCGGAAAGGCCCAAACCTAACATCTCTCGCCGACGCAGTAACGACACATCCCAGACCAAATCCGTCGCCCGAAATATCAACATTTGGGACAGTGACGATCTTTTGTTCGGTGATTTCCTAGAAAATGGTAAGCTGGATTGCTCCTAGTGAAGATAGGCATTCAACGGATTGACCCGAATCATCTGCAGACCAAGCCGAAAATTGGTCGGGTGTCAATAAGCTGCCACAATCGCCAGCAGACAAAGCACAGGCTCCAAGTGATACGACTAAGGGCTCGAATCAAAGCAACAATCAGATAGTTGAAACAGTAGAGGCTGTCAGACTTGAGAACGGTCGATGGGCCTGCAACCATAGGTGCAAAGATAAGACAACGTATCACAATCGTCCCATGTCCAAAGGGAAACAACTAATTGCAACAGATGTAAGCATCTCTGCTGTCGAGATGGACTCGAGAAGCCACCCAAAGCAAACAGGAAGCGACCAGGCGACGAAGATAAGGACAGGGGTAAGAAGACAATGGGGCTTAATCAGACAACCCTTCCAACAACAATAGCCAAAAAGGGCACTACCACCCAAGCGAATAACCCTTCTGACTCCCGAGCACAGAGACACTCAATGGAAACCCCAGTCTCTACACACAAGTCCTCCTCAGCAAACACGAGTACCAACAAAAACAATAAGCCAGGAAATGACTCCGGCTGTCCAGTTCCAAAGAACACACTAGAATCCTCAAGCGATTACGGAAACGACAGCTTCAGTGATTTCCCTTCACCGTCCGCCCTGCTGCTCGGAAAGCCCATAGTAGCAACATTATCGAAAGAACAGGATCCTGAAGTCCCCACTTTCGAAGACAACACAAAGAGAGACTTTATTACAGAAGACTGGAGTGACGATGATGGATGGCCCGACTTCCAGTTACCACCAGAGACAGATATTGTTCCTGCACCTGAAGACGGTCAAGAAAGGAATATTCAACCAGCACAAGGCCCTGATAAGATTGATATAATCAATTTAACCCCCACAGAGGTCAAAGAGATGATACTGAACGATCAGGATGTCAGACCTGACTATCATGGATCTACTCCTGCTGGTTCCCATGGGAAGAAACGGAAGGCTCTCTTGACTACGACCGTTGAGGCCAATAGAAAGAGATGCAAGGCGGACAAAGACATCGTAGCTACTCATCCAAGCTCTTTCCAGCCCGGTGGTACTACGGATGTAGCAGCTGAGGTTCCCGCAGGCTGGGAGGATATTGACCCTGCTCTACTGCATGAGTACAAGGATATTATCAATTTGTTCTAAAGCTTGATAGCTAGACATAATTTGTGAATCTCAGCATGTTGTGCAGATATGGAACCGTCCATTCACATTCCTTCCTTCTTAAGTACTTCTAGTATGACAGTAGGTAACCGAATGTTGTCAGAATATGCGGAGAATGCCATACAGAAGTGAAAGTTAGTACAGTGAACCACTGAAGAGGCTCGCACGCGAGGTAAACACCGTAATAAGCCCTTCAGATACTGCTCAAGGAGTACAAAAAGAGACACACTTGCTCTTCTGTGCCCCAAAGCATAAGTTGCCATCGCAATGTGAAAGTGAATGAGAAAAAGAGTGAAAGCCCTCGAAGGCCCAAAAGGGAAACGCGTCGAAAAGTCACGCACCCCCAGGCCTGCTTTCTATAAGACCTTCTAGCTTTGTCCGTGACTTTCATGTCCACATCACCCGCCTTCACTTTCCAACACTCTCTTTCCAGACTCTTCCTAATCTGCATTAGCGAGTTCATGGAAACAGTGCAGAAACACACAGGTAGTGTTTCACGCTAGTGCTGATTTGTATACATTTCGATATAGGGCTGGCTGTTGACACTTTCCTCTTCACTGATCTAGATTCTCTGTTCTTCTCCACTAACAAGCAATCTTCTGCTTCCCAACTTCGCGTCGATAGACGATTCATCTATCACAACATACCGAAATTAACTTCGAAGCACATCAATAGTCAGGTATGTGATTCAATATGATTCCTTTTTCACAGAATCCTGTCTTTTGTTCTTCGGGGTTGTGTGTACTTTGACACAGGTGACGCGCCCGCACGCCTCGCTGCATCATGACTTGACAATCGCTAAGCGAATAGTTGGGCACAATATATCCCGTCCCATCTTTCATCGGTTTCATCACTTCTGTTATCTTGGACTCGTCAGTATTTCTGAAGCAGGCATGCTAACTTGGAATCAGAGAAGTTGCACACTGTACCTTCGTGGTCGTTCCTCAATATGGGGAAGCTCAACTACCTTGGCGTGAGTTCTTTCATTGAGTTTCAACTTATGTTAACTCTAGAGAACAGAGGCTGACGATGACTTGCTTCATAGCGAAAGATCAGAGGCATCAAAGCGGGCCAGGCCGTCTTAACTAGCTTGGTAGGTGGCAGTCGTGTAGTCTGAACTCTAACGAAGTAGACTGACAACTGCTTATAGAAAAAGCGATTGCCGCCTGAAGATCGCAATAAACCGGGCAACCATGAATCGGCTTTACGTGACCCTGTCGTTGAAATCGATATTACCGGGAAAGAGTTGACGGATGATGGCCTCAACCAGTTCATCGATGTCTTGATCGAGTGCATCAAATTTGAAATCAAAGAAGTTAGAGAGGGCAAAGTTCATACCTCCCGCATAGTACGGGTCGCTGAGCTCCACTTGCAAGGTAACCAGCTTACCGTGGAGTCGTTGGCTAAACTGGCAGAGGTAGTCGCTTTATCGAAAGGTGACCTTCGGGAACTGGATCTCTCCAAGAACCAGCTTCACATTGAGACTGCGGAAGATGTTGAAAAGTGGGAGGCCTTCCTCGGGAAGTTCAAAAATTGTTACATGCTCAAGAAGCTTGATCTGAGTGGTAACCCCCTTGGTTGTCTGGGCGTTGAGCACTTCGCGCGGGTCTACCTCAAAAGTGACCTCGACTGGCTTTTGAGTGATGCTCCGGACATGATTGGTCCTGACCCTAACGCCGAATGTCATTCAATTGATGATGATTTGGCTAGAATGAAGTTGTCGGACAAGGAAAACGAGCCTAAGGGATCCAAAAAGTCGCCTGACAAGGGTAAAAACGCCCGTCCGAAAAGTAGGTGCACGGCGCCCTCTTTAGGTATGTATCTGGAACTAACAGATGGCCTTTTCTAGGCCACACACAAATCGAATGGGCCGAAGAGGCCGAGTTTACTTGCACTCGGGGTCTGCGTTCCATTCCTCATCTCATCCTATCGGAGATTGGACTGTCCAACACCAGTGCCCTTCATCTGCAAAGCATGCTCAGAGCTCAACACACGCCGGAGCACCTACTTAAGTTCCTTCCTCTAGGGAAGTCTGTGACTCTTCCTCAAACTGCGTCCCTATGCAAGAGCATAATTTGGCGCCCTACCAATGATCTCCCGCCATACACAGTGCGGCTACTGGAGGTGGCAGAAAGTCTTCGTGATGTGGTGTCCGATACAGAGGCTGAAGGGCAGAGTATAAACGACGAGAATGACGGCAAAGAGTATGCCAGCCGCGGCAGAAACAAAGGACAAGACCATGACGAGAAACCCGCAAATCAGGTTGGGAATGATCTGAAAACCGAATACGCTCGTCTCTGCAAACGCGTCCAACTTGAGGCAATCAAGATAGAAGGCGTGCATAGCAGCACACTTTGGAGCACCGCACTGAAAATGATGCTCATATCACGGACAATCTTGCTGGATGATGACAATCGTCCGAGATCGGATAGTAAGGTGGGAGGCGCCGATGTCGAGAATAACGTACGCGTAGACGAAGGCGAGAAAGAGGCGGAGTCGATTCAAGGAGACGACAGCTCATCTGATGGGCCAAACTACGCCCATGTGGAGTTTGTTGAGCCTCGTAACCGGACTCGCGTGCGGTTTGTCGAACCTAATACTGGTGCATACTCGTATCCAGGTGAAGATATCGCGCACATAGGCCCTCCGGTTACGAACACTGCCCCTGAAGGGGCCGGACAACGCGCCGGTCCATCCTACTCCCGCTATGAAGCGTTCGTCTCCGAATTTCCCACGCCTCAGGAGGCATATGAACCATCTGCATCGATGAAAACGGCTGTCGCGACTGAAGTTATACCAATCCCTTCTGCAGCGTCCTCAAGCTCGGGTACAAGGAGCCAGAACCCTGATGAAGACCGCATGTTGCGGTTCGACGTTCCCTTGAAGGTTTGGCGACGAACGATTGCCTATGTCGTCGGCGCGAATGGGCTGCTTGACAATGAGCAACAAAATTGCATTCTGAAGTACGCCGCTAGCTGGGAGGCCCTCGAACACGCGCAAACATTCCAAGGCGCCGAAGAGCACCAACAGATTTGGAAGCTCCTCCAGACGTTGGATTGCTTCAATTACAGCGTGTGGAAGGCTGATCGATCCAAGGTGAAGTCGATCAAGGGGAAATGAAAACTGCAGGACAGGTATTTCAGATCGCAATGTGAAACGCAGAAGACATGATATCAAAAGTTCAAAAAGGAGAGCCACTGTACGAGTGATCAGTCGATGAAGGTGCTCGACTCAGATTCGGGATGTCTGCCGGCCAGAGCCTGGTCTTTGTATGACACTGATCAACGGGATCCTTGTCTGGCGAGTCCATAATAATAGCTTAATAATGATAATGATGATGAAAACTGATTTCTGCGTAATAGATGTAAGAACTATCGACACGTAGGATCGAAGTTTTACTACAAGATGCCTCACTCAGTCTTTGGTGAATCCCCCTTCCCCGCACGTGACCCCTCATTATCCATCTTCGCCATCTTCGCCTTCACCTTCACCTTCACCTCCACCATTCACCTCTTCTTTACTTCTCACACTTTCCCTAAAAGCGAGAGATAGCGTGTCGATCCAGAATACTCCCTAGGCTCAAACAACCATGATGCGGACTAAAAGAACCAACACTCAGCCCTTAGAAGATGCCTCCATCTCGCCCGCCACCTTCAACGACGGCCTTCCCCTCCCGAAACTGATCGCCTTTGATCTCGACTACACTCTCTGGCCATTCTGGGTCGACACGCACGTCAGCGCCCCGATTAAACCCCGCGACAACAATTCCCGCTGCACGGATCGGTATGTCCCCTCAGCCCCTAGCAAAACTACTACCATGTAACTCACCATCACCTCCCACAGCTGGAACGAATCGTTCGCCTTCTACCCCGCCGTCTCCTCAATCGTCTACGCATGCAAAAGCAAGAACATTCCGTTGGCTCTAGCCTCGCGCACTCACTCCCCGGATCTCGCCCGCGACATGCTCAAAGCTCTGCACATCATTCCTACGTTCTCTGATAACCCCGCGGCGAAGACTAAGTCGGTGCGCGCACTGGATTACTTCGACTACGTGCAGATCTTCCCGGCAAACAAGACGCAGCATTTCTCGCGCATTCAGCAGGCGAGTGGGGTGGCGTATGAGGAGATACTGTTCTTCGATGATGAGGCGAGGAATCGGAATGTTGAGACTGAGTTGGGAGTGACATTTTGCCTAGTCAAGGATGGGATGACGAGGGAGGAGGTGGATCGGGGAGTTTGGGCGTGGCGGAAGAGGAATGGGATTAAGCAGCGCAAGGAGGGGGATGTAGAGAATGGGGATGAAGAGTGATGGCGTGTGTGTTGAGTTATAGATATGGGTTGTAGATATGGGTGTTGGCGTTTAGTTGGGTTTTACTTAGATATGATGATAGATACCCGGATGGGATAGATGACGACTATATACATATACTTTTGATGTGTACATTAAATAGACCGGTTTACTATATTAAACGTGGTGTTAATCTATAAGAGCATATGGTGCTACTCTTCCTCTACGGAGGACTCACGGGCCCGTGTCGAGTCTCCACAACTCACCTCCGCGGAATTCAATCAACCTTTACCATAACATCCGCAAATACGATCAACAACACAACACAGTACAACCCAACACAACAGACAATACTCAGTCTACTGCCTACCTACCTACAAGTCTTCTCACCACTCTCAATTACCTCTTCTCTACAACCTCACCTGAACACCACTACCAACAAAACCACCACCAACCCGGAAATGGACCCCCGACAACACCACCCATCCCAACCACCACTACCACAATCAACATCATCAACACACCTCAAACCACCACCCTCCACACCACACTCCCATCAACAACGCCCCCCATCCACCCCCTCGCACCACCACCGCACCCCCATAACCGCGCACCCCAGCGCCACCATCTCCGAAAGCCTCCTAATCCAAGGCTCGCACCCCATCTCCATCGGAGCGAGCACAATAATCCACCCACGGGCTCGAATCTACTCCTACGAGGGGCCGGTGATAATCGGCAACGGATGCATAATCAGCGAGAAGAGCATTATCGGGTCCGCGCCCACCACCTCCACCTCCACATCCACATCTACATCTACATCAAGCGGCATCGCCAGCAAAGACGAAGGGTCAATTCTACCTATCCGCATCTCAAACAGCGTGACAATCGGTCCAGGGGCACAGATCCTTCCCGGGGCGCATATCCATAGTGCGAGTTGTGTGGAGGCGCGCGCGGTGATTGGGAGAAGGGCGGTCGTGGGATCGCATTGTCGGGTGTGTGCGGGCGTTGAGGTGGCGGATGGGGATGGGGTTGCGGATTGGATGGTTGTTTGGGGGGGTGGGAATAGGAGGAGGAGGAGGGCTGTGGGGAGGGTGGAGCCGAGTAAGGTGGTTTTTCCTGCTGGAGGGGGTGGAGGTGGGAATGGTGTAGGGGGGAATGGGTTGGAGGGGAGGGTGATTGAGGAGGCGAGGTTGATGGTGTTGCAGAGGGAGAGGGATGCGTTGGTTAGGTTGATTGGGGGGAGGAGGAGATGAGCTTGTTTTCATTGTGGTAGGTTGTTGGATGATGGGGGAGAAGGTGGGATAGGTGGGGGGTGTTTGTTTCTGCTCTATACCCAGTTGCTATGTGATTTTAAAACTACTGCAAGCATGTTGTGCACGTTCTTGATCTGCTAGGTTCGATGTATCTTAATGATGGCACGTATCGTGTAAGACAAAAGAAATCTGATGTTGCATAGAACATCTACCCTATCCCAGCAGACACATTGAGACATAAAGTACATGAAAAAAAAAAAAAAAAATGAAAGAAAAATGCAATTCACGCTGTCCTAGATCCCTATGACCCCCGGGTATGACCTCCTCCCCTCATGCGCTTTCCTCCAGTGGTTCCTCCTTCGCCACCAGCTTCTCCTCCATCCTCACGAGCACGTTTGTTGCCCTGAGGCACGAACTGGCGAGCACCGGCATTCAGCGAGCGGCCTGGACTAGCCTGTCCCTGCTGAGCGGCATTCGTAGCCTGTACATTTTGGTTTCCGCCGCGTCCGTGACCTCCGCGTCCGCCACGGCCCCGGGGCAGACCAGAGCCGCGCTGGCTAGGAGCTTGCTGCTGGGCTTGACCCTGACCTTGCGCCTGTTGCTGCTGGCCCTGTTGCTGGCCAAAAGGATTCGCCTGCGACCCGCCACGGCCGCCGGTTCTGCCGCCTCGTGCGACGGGCAATCCAGACGTCAGTGCTCGCATAAGACCAGGAGCATTGCCGGCCGGGGGCTTGCTGGGCAACGAGGTGGGTTGCTTGTTCTGGCTCTGACCGAACGGGTTCGGAGGAGCATTGGTAGCTGGCTGTGCCGTTGCAGGTGCAGCTTGTTGTTGTGCTGCCTGTTCAGGCGCAGGTTGTTGCTGCGGTTGCTGCTGCGCTGGGGCACCTGTCTGCGGCGTGGATTCAGCAGGTGGCTCGGCTGTGGAAGCTGCTGCAGGCTCCGCAGGCTGTGCCTGGGGTGCAGCTGCAGGCGTAGCTGCGGGTGTGGGCGCAGGAGTGGCCGTCGGAGCAGGCGACGGCGATGGCACCACCGGGGTAGCCTGGGCCGCTGCGGGCGCGGGAGACGGTGCAGGCGCAGGGGATGCCACCTGGGCGGGCTTGGCCTGCGCCGCCGGAGGCGCTCTGGTGGTCTTTGCGACCTCCCACACTTCGACAACAGGCTTCTGAGGTGTCTCTGTAGCAGCCTTCTGGACCACATCGATCTTGGCCTGGGCTGTCCTGTATCGGGTATCCAGCATGCTTAGCTTCGCCAGTGATTTTTTGTCCGACAACTCGACGGCAGCCTTGATCTTCTCCTCCACACCCTCTTCATGTGCCTTCTTCAACGCTTCTCTCTCTTCGTTAAACTTCTGCTCCAGTGTGCTCATGGCCTCCTGGTTGGCTTGGCTCTCCTGCTTGTCGGTTTCCTTCTGCTTAGCCACCTGGGTGCGGATGTTGCTCCGAATGATGTTACGAATGGTCTCGTTCTTGGCAACAAGCTCCCTGGCTTGTGCGTCCGTCAGCTCTGGCAGTCCAGTGTCCTTGGAGGGTGTCGCGGGAGCAGCCGCAGGAGTCGCCGGCGTTGCTGGCACCTGCTCGGGTTTGGGAGCTGGGGTTCCAGGTTCCTGGGGAGCGACTGGTTGACTGGACTTCAACCGCTCAACTTCCTGCCGATGAGCAGCCCGGACTTCAGCCAGCTTGCTGTTGAACATCTCCTTCAGCTTGTCAGACCGTTCCTTGATCTTGGCCTCATGTTCTGTCTCCTTTGCGGCCAACGCCGTCTCCTTCTCTGCAAGAGCTGCCTCAAGGCGCTGCACCTTCTCTTCCAGAGCCTTCACGCGTTGGTCATCAGAAGCGGCAGGCGGCTGGGTTGTTGGCGCAGGGAACTGAGAGGCAGGTGTTGAGTCAACACCCGTAGCTCCTTCAACAGCTGGAGCTGAAGGAGCTGCAGGCTTCTCGGCCATCCTCGTCTTCAACTCATTCAGCTCCTCCCGAGTCGTCTTGAGTTCTTCTTGAATAACTTCCTTCTCCTGCACGACCGTATTCAGCTCCACTTGTTTAGCGTTGATACGGCCAGTCAACTCCTTAGACCGAGCCTTGAATTGGTCCGTGAGCTTTGTGCGCAATTCTTGCACACGATCCTCCGCATGCTTCAACTGTTCTGGGAATGCAGCAGCCTGGGTTTGTAGAGTGTCCCGGGCAGCAACGGCCTCATCACGTTCCTTCTCCAAGGTCTCAAGCTTCTCCTTCAGACCCTCCATTTCCGCAGGGTCTACCCGATCGTACTTCTGCAAGATGTTCTGCGTACGTTGCTGCCACCGGTCCCTGTCATCCTGCAGCAACTTCAGCTCTCCATCCTTCGTCTCCACAGTGTTCTCTAGCTCCCTGATCTTAGTCTCTAGCGGTTGAATCTGCTGGACAAGTTCTTCGATGCGAGAAGACTTCTCCGCAAGTGAGGTTTCTGCCTGCTTGACCTGGTTACGCAGCGTAACACTACTCTCGCGGAACAGGTTGAGTTCGTTCAGGGTCTCCATCAGCTTGTTGTGGCTGAGAGCACTGTGTTCACTGTCGGCAGCCGCGCGACGCTGCTGCTCGAGCTTAAGCCGGGCTTCGTCAAGCTGTGTCTGAGTGTAGTCGAGTTGCTGACGAAGACGCTTGCTTTCCTGGGTTGACAGATGGTACTGCACATCGACGATCTCCTTCTCACGACGTAGGAACTTAATCACCTCCTGGAGGCCTTCGAGGTTGGGCGCCCCAGCCTCTCCGTCCTCATCACCCTCAGGAATGTTAGCCCGGTCACGCTGGAGGGCTGCGATCTGGTTTGTAATGTTCTCGAGTTGGGTATGTAGCAACGAATTCTGGTGGAGAACTTCCTCGCGGCGCTTTTGCAGTTCCGTAAGCTCACTCTCATACCTGTCCTTAATCTCAGTCCAGCTTTCCTCCTTCTGAGCAAGGTCCTTCTTGAAAGTGTCGGCCTGTGTCCGGAGTTCGACAACTTCCAGCTTCAGCTGGTTAGCTTCGGAACGGACCAATTGTAGGTTCTTCGCGGCTTCGGCATGCTTGACCAACTCGCTCTCGTAGTTCTGTTGGGCATGCTGCGCGATTTCGGCTTGTGCCTTGAGATCTTCCTGGTGGAATTGAGCAGAAGCGATCTGCCGTTCATTCTCGTCCTTCAATCTTGTGATCTCTGCTTCCAGCGCGGCCTTCTGCTCCTCCAAATGCCGGCCAGCCTCCCCTTGCTCGTCACGCAGCTTGGTAAGTTCGCCATTCGTAGTCGAAAGCTCGGTAGAAATTTCTTCGATGCGCTTCTCAAGGTCCTGAATCTTCTTATCCTTCTCTTCGATGAGACGCTCCGTTTCCTCCCGATACTGTTCCTGGGTCTCAGTAACAGACTGCAGACGCTCTTCGCTCTGCTGACTGATAGCCTTGTAGTCTTCCACCCGCTCTTCCGCGTGCTGAAGCTCATTCTTTGTCAACTCCAGATCACGACGGAGCTCGGATACTTCAATACCAAGCTCCTGTTCGCGCGTCAAACCACTCTCCTGGCCTTCCTCCGGAACCGCAGGCGCTTCAGTAGGAGCAGCAGACACACTTGGCTTAGTCTGCACAACCTGGAGGCGTTCTTCCGCACTACGCAGCTCGACAGTGAGTTCGTCGACTCTCGACTGCAAGTGATCTCTTGTCGTCTTCGCAGCAACCAACTCCTCCCGAGCGGCGCCCAAGCTCGTCACCAAGTCATCAATTCGCTTCTGACTTTGCTCATGTTCGTATTCCCTGCGCAACGATGCCTTCTTTCCCTCCTCAACCTCATCGTCAAGCTTCCGCTTGGTGGATTGAAGCTCCGATTCGAGAGTCTCCACGCTACTCTGCAAACGACGACGACTCTCAGCATCGGTATGCTCACGCTCATTGAGGATGGTTTGAAGATTGGCATTGAGAGAATCAAGTCGGCCTCTCTCGTTGCGCAGCGTCTCGTTGTCCTCGATGAGTCTCTTCTCGATATTCTTCCAGAGATCCTTCTCTGCCTTGAGGTTGGCATTCTCTCGTTGAAGGCTTTCAACGAGACCCTTCGTCTCCACCAAATCTTCCGCAGCCTGCTGAGTCCTGATGTCCTGCCGGTTGGCGTTCTCCAGAAGAGTGGCGTAGCGTTTCTGCATTTCTGCGTTTTCGTTCTTGAGCATGTCGAAATTGCCCTGGAGAAGCTCTGCTCTTTGGGTGGCGGCAACAAGCTGGCTGCTGGAGCGGCTGATTTCGCTCATCAGTTCACTGTTCTTTCTGGACAGCTCATTGACCTGTTGCTTCAATGCCGCATGATCGGTGGCGGACTCCTCGCGGAAGCTGTCGAAGTGTGCCTGCACCTTGCGCAACAGATCAGCGTAGTCTGGAACATCCTTGGCCGGCTCTTCGGAAGCGGGAGGAGCTGCGCCCAGAGGAAGAGACTGGGAGAAGACAGATGCGTCGCCAACGGTTTGACGACGGCGGGTAAGCATGCTCCGGAAGGTATCCCTCTCCTTAACATAACTCTTTGTTTGAGCGACGAGGTTAGCGATCTCGTCACGGTAAGTCTGCACCCGGATTCTCAGCTCCTTCAGCTCTTCTTGCTCTTGTTGACGGATGGCATCCTGCTCGCGGGCCTCTGCGCCCTCCATCTTATCCCCAAGCTCTCTCAACATACGCCGGAGAGTGACATTCTGCTCTTGGAGCTCGTGAAGATCCTTGAACGTCATCAAGTTGCGACTGATGAAACGTCCGGTCGGGTTGAGATCAGCGGAAGAGTCATCGATCTCTTGGCGTGCAATCTTCTCGAGTTCCTCCCTATCGTACGTGGTCTCGCCTTCCTTCAGAATGGCATTTTCCAAGACCAAAACCTTAATCTGGGCGCTCAAATCTCTGAGTTGCTGACGCAAAATGTCTCCCTCACGGGCCAATCCCTCCACTTGACCTTGCCACTTCCTTGCCTCCTTAGTTGCATCGTCCCGTTCCTTCCCAGCGGTCTCCAAGATGTTGGACATTTCAACAACAGCATTCTCGAGTCTACCGTGATCTGCACGAAGTTCATCAATTTCAGGCTTGCTGGCCTCAAGATCTTGGACCATCTCGTCTAGAGTCGATCTAAGCTCTTGGTTTGTCTTTTGCTCCATGGCCAGCGATGTCCGCATCTTGTCGTACTCG